GGGTTTAGGGTTTAGGGTTTAGGGTTTAGGGTTTAGGGTTTAGGGTTTGGGGTTTGGGGTTTAGGGTTTCGTGTTTCGGGGACTTGTAACTCTACTTACTTGCAGCCCAGCAGGCTTAACCCAGGAGCTTTTGCCAATGAACTCCCAAAAAAATAAAGCAATAATCCGTATATTGCCCTTATTATAAGTTAAGTTATAATTTGGGGGGGGGTTCTTAAGCAAATACTAGATACGTACGCACACCCAAAACCTTAAACCCTAAAGGGCTTTCCCTCGATAGAGTTTAAGGTTTCGGGTCTTGCTCTCCGGCAGTTGATCTTTCACCGCAAAGAAGGGAAAGACCCACTCGCCTGCAGAGTTTAGGGTTTAGGGTTCAGGGTTTAGGATTTAGGGTTTGGGAGGTGAAGGCGTTAAGGGCTTTCTCATGCATATGCACGAAGCCGCGCCCCGGCAAAAACCGAATGAAACCCGAAACCTCTTGAGCCGTAAACCTTCAGACCCTGAAACCTTAGCCTGCGCAACAGAAACCCCCCCCCCCCCCCAGAGAGCATGGATCCTAACCCTACTCACGAGATTAGATCCTAACCCTACTAACTGATGTAATCTGATGTAGAGGTAAGACTTCAGCTCAGGGAGCACCTAAGGTACACACTCCCCACATCAGGTCGTCCTATATGTGGGGGTCTTGCAACTACAGGGCCAAGGTCTTCGGTCGAACTCTACTTCTACACTAAACCCTAACCCTAAACCCTAAACCCTAAACCCTAAACCAATTTCATGTCCGGGATTTCGGCACTGAGGACTCGGACATACCAGCGAGATCTTAATTTTGGAGGTTTCCGAGAGTAGGGGTACCCTTTTGTTGGTTCCTATAAGAAGGATTCTGCTATTTCGGGGTATCTTGCGGCATTTCGCAGCGCGATGCAAGCCCTCAGACTTCAGAGCAGCATCCGCATCACTACGAGTACCCAAAGAGCCCAACACCCCTGAATTAAGGAATATACCTTAAATCATATTGAGGATCCCTATATGAATTAAGCAATATTCCCTGATTAAGGGATATTGGGCTCTTTACAGCATGCACGCACAATCTCTTCAGCTCCTGGGACGTCGTATGCCCTGCAAAGCTGGAAGGGGTGCAGGTACGGACCAGGAACTGGCTTAAAGCAAAAACTTCGGTTAAAAACTTCGGTTGGAGCCACCTGGATGGGCCGTGGCCGTCTCGGAACCTTGCAGGTTCCGCACTAATCCGGAATTGGGGCTTTCCTATGATGGGGATACCCCTTTTAACCCCCAAATATGGTAGAATCCCTTTGAAAAGCACCCCTAGGAGGGTACCCCGATTCTCGTAACCTCCAATTAAACCTTACGCTCCACCATGGAAACTGCGGTGCAGATGTCATTGCAATAGTTTTGCTGACGCGCTCGACATGGATGTGCTAAAGAGCAGACTGCAGGGCACTGCCGGTAATGCTAGCCATGACAAACATAGAGCGGAGATAGCAAAAATAACATGAACAATGGCCATACTGTTCTTTAATCCTAGCAGTAGTACTAATTAACAAGAAGTAAGAAGTAAGAAGTAAGAAGTAAGAAGTAAGAAGTAATAAGTAAGAAGTAACAAGTAAGAAGCAAGAAGCAAAAAGGAAGAAGGAAGAAGGAAGAAGGAAGAAGGAGAAGAAGGAAGAAGGAGAATAAGGAAGAAGGAGAACAAGGAAGAAGGAGAATAAGGAAGAAGGAGAATAAGGAAGAAGTAAGAAGGAAGAAGTAAGAAGGAAGAAGTAAGAAGGAAGCAGTAAGAAGGAAGAAGTAAGAAGGAAGAAGTAAGAAGGAAGAAGTAAGAAGGAAGAAGTAAGCAGGAAGAAGGAAGAAGGAATAAGGAATGAGGAAGAAAAAGGAGGACGAAGGAAGAAGGAGGAAGGAGGAAGGATGAAGCAGGAGGAAGGAGGAAGCACGAGGAAGGAGGAAGCAGGAAGCAGGAGAAAGGAGGAAGAAGGAGAAGGATAAATAGGAAGAAGGAGAATAAGGAAGAAGTAAGAAGGAAGAAGGAAAATCAGGAAGAAGGAGAATATGGAAGAAGTAAGAAGGAAGAATGAAGAAGGAAGAAGGAAGAAGGAAGAAGGAGGAAGGAGGAAGGAGGAAGGAGGAAGGAGGAAGGAGGAAGGAGGAAGGAGGAAGGAGGAAGGAGGAAGGAGGAAGGAGGAAGGAGGAGGAAGGAGGAAGGAAGAAGGAGGAAGGAGGAAGGAGGAAGGAGGAAGAAGGACAATAAGGAAGAAGGACAATAAGGAAGAAGGAGAAAAAGGAAGAAGGAGAAAAAGGAAGAAGTAAGAAGGAAGAAGGAAGAAGGAGGAAGGAGGAAGGAGGAAAAAGGAAGAAGTACAAAGTACGAAGGAAGAAGGAAGAAGGAAGAAGGAAGAAGGAAGAAGGAAGAAGGAATAAAAGGAAGAAGGACAGTAAAGACAGCCGCCATACGAATGGAAGCAACAAGATCCTGGCGAGACGATCTGAAGTAGGGTTTAGACTCCTTGTACCCCCCCCCCCCAAAAAAAAAAAAAAAGGACACCAATTCTATACGCTCACCAATCTTAGAACAGGAACCCTAAACCCTAAACCCTAAACCGCCTATACCCTAAACCCTAAACCCTAAACGCTAAACCCAAAACAGGAAGAAGCAACGCTGGTTCATATGAAGGCCAAGGCCAGCGGCTGGCTCCGCTGCTGAAGTCGGCCCCCCACTTCTTGCACTTGGAGGTTCATGGGTTTGGGGTTTGAGGTTTGGGGTTTAGGGTTTGGGGTTTGGGGTTTGGGGTTTAGGGTTCAAGGTTATAACCCCAACTATCAGTCTACCTGTGACCTACTTCGAGGACCTCGATAGGGAGCTCATAAGTGCAGTCTTATTGGGGTCTATAGATACTAGGGAACTAGGGGATAGGGTTTAGGGGTTTAGGGGTTTAGGGTTTAGGGTTTAGGGTTTAGGGTTTAGGGTGTACCGGGTTTAGGGTTTAGGGTTTAGGGTGTACCGGGTTTAGGGATTAGGGTTTAGGGTACAGGGTTTAGGGTCCTTGGGGATAGAGACCCTCTGAACAAGGTCCCTGATGAAGTGCGCCAGAAGAGGGTTCCGAAGGGCTCCCTTTTGAAGGGCCCCCCTTATCCTGCCTAGCAAATACCCTGAACCCTAAACCCTAAACCCTAAACCCTAAACCCTCCAAGTAGTACAAAGTTGGAGACATGAGCTTTGCAGCCTACCGTATTTTGGGGGCGGAGGGTTTGGGAAGACTGGGGCTGAGCCTTGTGGCTTATGAGGCTTAGGGCTTAGGGTTTAGGGTTTAGGGTTTAGGGCTTGGGGGTTTGGGCTTTAGGGCTTAGCATGGCCCGGGGACGTCTGGCCCTGCTTCGGAGGGCGGTGCAAGTACGAAGGGGAGTTTCATGGGTTGTACAGGGTATGTGAGGGTTTAGGGTTTAGGGTTTAGGGTTTAGGGTTTAGGGTTTAGGGTTTAGGGTTTAGGGTTTAGGGTTTAGGGTTTAGGGTTTAGGGTTTAGGTGTAGAAGGGGTCCCCTTCTTTAAGGGCCCATATAAAGGGACCCTGAAACTACCCTGAGATTCAAACATAAATGGAGTGTCTAGCGCAATGCAATGAATCTTTGGTAGTTCGCAGTGACTTCTCTGCTGCTTTCGAATCCTAAACTTTAAGCCCTAAACCCTAAGCCCTAAACCCCTGAAGCCTAAACCTATTCAGTAACGGGGGGTCTCAAAGAGGATGCTCGTATCACGCAGGCCAGCACAAAGCCCACACCCTAAACAGCCCTAGAGTTGTGGAGTGTTGGGATGGTCTAACAGCTCCTTAGTAGAGATTCTAGTAGGGGTACTATAACCCCTAGTCTCAGGGGGAATCATCCCAGGTGGGGTCCTTTGTGCTCTTGCTGGAGCCCGGGAAGCAAAAAAACAAAGACTCAACCCGCGCGTTCGCATTCTGAATTCGGCTGGAATGGGGGACGTGGGCCTTGAGCCTGACTTTTGGGGCTAGGGTTTAGGGTTTAGGGTTTAGGGTTTCGGGTTCAGGGTTCAGGGTTCAGGGTTCAGGGTTCAGGGTTTAGGGTTTAGGGTTTAGGGTTTAGGGTTTAGGGTTTAGGGTTTAGGGTTTAGGGTTTAGGTTTAGATTTAGGCTGAGCCTGACGTGCAAAGGCCTTAGGCAGTTTTGGGTCAATGGTCTAGGCATTAAGGCTTCGTGTCCCAAGATGAGCAATGCTTCCGTTCCTCCGCAACACATCAGAGCTTCTGCATTGTGTGCTGGTCCAGGCCCCCCTTCTGCAAAAAGTTGGCGCGCAAAGTGAAGTCTTTTACAAGGGAACCTCGAGGGGGCCACTGGGCTAACTACCAAGAGTTCTCTGCCTTAAACCCTAAACCCTAAACCCTAAACCCTAAACCCTAAACCCGAAATCTTATAAAACCCCTACTATAGGCCCTGTCCCCAAGGTACACGTATCTTGGGCCCCGCTGCGCCGACCAGGCCCACTTAGGCGGCTCCACCAACCTTGTCGGTGCTGGAAAGGGGACCCGCCTTCCCTTCTCCAGAAGGATCGGCTTCAAACCAGTCCTTGGGTAGATTTTGGGGGGGCCCTATTGCAAATCTTTGTGTTTTTGTATGGCTGTATAGGTATATGCAAGGGATCAAGGGCAATCAAAACTAAAAAAAGATGTTCAAACCTACCCCTGACTCCGGCACACGAGGATGTAAGATGGGGCTGTTAGATGACAAGTGGATTGAATAGCACAGCCAGGTACTTTGGGGACCAACTGGGCATTTCCCAACATAGGCGTATCCCACTACAATACCCCAAAATACTATAATCTGTATTCTACTAGTAGGAACCCCCGATCAGGGTACCCCCCCCCTTCCATTTTCGGAAACCCCCAAATGAACCTAAAAGTTGGGATCAGATTGCAACCCCTACAAGGTATGTGGACCACAAGAAACGTTCCGATTCTTGGGTCCTAAGACCTAAACCCTAAGCCCTGTCCCCAAGATACCTGGTTGGCGTCGTGGCACCCACCACGCCCACTCAGGGGGCTCCACAAGCCTTGTTGGCGATGGGAAAGGGACCCGCCTTCCATTCTCCAGAAGGATCGGCTTCAACCACTCCGGCACAAAAGGATGCAAGATGGGGCTGTCGGTATACTTGGCAAGCAGATCCTCCAGCCTTCGCATCTGTGTGTTTGCATGCACAGCCAGAGCCACAGCTGGGCCAGCGCCAGCTTGTGGGCAAGACCCCAAAGAGCAAGGCAGATGCATGTCGTGGAAGTGCCCGCGGAACGCGAGGGCAGCTGCCGACGTGGTGAAGTTGATGAACGCGTACCCCAAGCAACGGCCATCCTTGTGCCGAATGGGGAGGTACAAGAAATCCACCTCCTCAAGGCAGCGATGTGCCTCCAGGAGATTGCACAACATGTCTCGGGTAAAAATTTTGGGAATGTTGCGCAGCACCATCGAAGTCTGCCCACACATCTCAGATGAACGGGCTGGCCCGGTCCTGGCGCTCTCCGAACTCGGCATCGCAGGGAGTGCACACTTGCCACGCGGATAGGAGGAAGACCTTTGCTTGGCTCCATCCGAAGTGGTGAAGTGCAGAAAAGTGTTTTTCACGACGAGGTTGAACTCCGTTTTTTTTTTGCCAGGGTCGTCCATGGCGCGAAAAGTGCTCTTATCCGCTTTTGGCCCGAAAAGCGACCGCGAGGGGAGAAAGCGGCGCTCCTGTCACAGACAAAAACCTCCATACATACTCATACACAGGATGTGTACATATGTATGTGTATACATATATATATATATATAGTATATTCTATCTGTGTACAGAAAAGCAGTGTAATTATTGATCTCTCGCAGATCATCGTGCCGACCAGGCAAACGAACACCACAGCTTGGGCCCTAAGCCACGGCCATCTTCCCAAATCTTCCAAAACCCCTTAATTAAGGAAATGCCCTAATTATACTAAGGATCCTTATGATGAATTAGGGTTGTTCCTGAATTAAGGGGTTTTGGAAGATCTGGGTTGTGCAACGGGTCACGGCCAGCCTCAGAACTCATACATGCCGGGTGAGGCGACGAAACAACCCAGATCTTCCAAAACCTCTTAATTAAGGAATATACTCTAATTTGTACTAAGGATCCTTAATATGAATTAGGGTATACTCCTTCATTAAGGGGCTTTGGAAGATCTGGGAATGTACCTCCCAAAGCTGAACCCAAACACGGAGCGCCAGCCCCCAAAACTGCAAACGATCACCTACTCGGAACCCTAAACCCTGCCTAAACCCAAACCTTAAACCCTAAACCCTAAACCCTAAACCCTAAACTCTAAACCTCTAACCCCAAACCCTAAACCCCAAACCCCACCCACCTCGGATCCCAGGGCCCAGGGGCTGGCCGGGGATCCCAAGCAGCGCAGGTCGGCGCGGGGCTGGGAACGCCTGGGTTTAGAGTTTAGGGTTAGGATTTAGGGTTTAGGGTTTAGGGTTTAGGGTTTAGGGTTTAGGGTTTAGGGTTTAGGGTTTAGGGTTTAGGGTTTAGGGTTTAGGGTTTAGGGTTTAGGGTTTAGGGTTTAGGGTTTAGGGTGCGGGTGTAGGGTTGAGGGTCTTCATAGGGTCTATCTTGGAGGGATTGCGAGGGGTGAGGGTTTGGGGCTGAAGGTTTTCGTAGGGTTTAGGGATCTGTCTTAAGACTTCAGGGTTTTGGGTTGCTATCCGAGTTAGGGGTTTGGAGATTCAGTCCCTCGAACGCTTTGTCTTGAGTTAGGCCGTACTACGGTAATCCCCTAAAGCCCCCAAACCCTAAACTTTTGAACCCTAAACCCTGCATCCTAACCCTAAACCCTAAACCCCGAACCCCAAACACTAAACCCTCATCCCGAAAGACTTACGATTGAGGTACACGCGTTCCGCCATCACAGGCACACGGCATACACAGCCCAATGTGGCTGAAATGGGACCCTCGCAATAAAATACCCTACAGCCCCAACAGGTCTCGAAGATGCGTGGTCAAGCCTAACCCTAAACCCTAAACCCTAAACCCTAAACCCTAAACCCTAAACCCTAAACCCTAAACCCTAAACCCTAAACCCTAAACCCTAAACCCTAACCCTAAACCCTAAACCCTAAACCCCAAACCCCAAACCCCAAACCCTAAACCCTAAACCCTAAACCCTAAACCCTAAACCCCAAACCCTAAACCCTAACCCTAAACCCTAGAAGCCCCAAAGGCCTGGGCCACTTCGGTGCGGCGCGCCCGCAGCCTGCCAGCAGGTCTGCGTCGGTTGTGCGGGGGAATCGGGGGTTGAGGGGCTTGAGGGGTTTTAGGATTTAATGTTTAGGTTTAGGGTGTAGGGTTCAGGGTTCAGGGTTCAGGGTTTAGGGTTTAGGGTTTAGGGTTTAGGGTTTAGGGTTTAGGGTTTAGGGTTTAGGGTTTAGGGTTTAGGGTTTAGGGTGTAGGGCTTAGGGTGTAGGGTTTGGGGTTTGGGGTTGAGTCGCTTCGTAGGCTTAGGAGTTTTGAGGTTACGGAAGGCTTGGCAGCGGTTAGTGGGTTGAGGGGAGTTTAGGGTTTAGGGTTTAGGGTTTAGGGTTTAGGGTTTAGGGTTTAGGGTTTAGGGTTTCGGGTAATGGGAAAAAGTTGGGACGGGGTTGGGTTGGGACTTGAAGGCGAGGGTGAAGGGCGACTGGGTGACTTGGGGGCATGCCCTGCAGAAGAACCATGGCAGCACCCTACTACACTCTAATCGCTAAGTCCTAAACCCTAAACCGCTAAGATCCGTAAACCCTAAGCCGAATCTGGAGCATGCCGTGCCATGTGCGCGATTGGTTTCAAGATGCCTCGGTCTAACCCTAGGCCCTAAGCCCGAAGCCCTAAACCCTAAACCCGCACCCTAAACCTCAACTTTAAAGCTTGGGAGGGTTCAGGGTCACAGGGTTTTCAGGGCTCAGGTTAGAGAAAAGACCCCAGTTCCCCCACCCTCCTCCCCCAAACCCCAAACCCCAAACCCCAAACCCCAAACCCCAAACCCTAAACCCGGTTAAGGGTTAAGGGTTTAGGTTGGGATGTTCCCCCGTCTACTAACAGTCCGTTTATAGGGATTAGAATAGGGGTGCGACAATCCCTATTAAGGGCTGTTCGTTAAACCCTAAACCCTAAACCCCAAACCCCAAACCCTAAACCCTAAACCCCAAACCCTAAACCCTAAACCCTAAACCCTAAACCCCTGCTAGTATAACGGGGGAATTTTCCCAAGCTTTAGGGGCTTAGGGCTTTGCCGCGCCCGTAGCAGCCGGCGGATCTGCAGCCTTGGCAGCTTCGGGTCCCAAAAAGGCTTTGGAGGATGCAGGATTTGGGGTTTGGGGTTTAGGGTTTGGGGTTTAGGGTTTAGGGATTAGGGTTTGGGTTTAGGGTTTAGGGTTTAGGGTTTAGGGTTTAGGGTTTAGGGTTTAGGGTTTAGGGTTTAGGGTTTAGGGTTTAGGGTTTAGGGTTTAGGGTTTAGGGTTTAGGGTTTAGGGTTTAGGGTTTAGGGTTTAGGGTTTAGGGTTTAGGGTTTAGGGTTTAGGGTTTAGGGTTTAGGGTTTAGGGCTGAAGGTTGACGATCTTCACACCAGGGGTCCAAGAACAACCCAAGGGTAGAACCTGACTGGTCCAAGGCAGAGTCCCATGATTGGAGGGCGCAAGAGGGTTTAGGGTTTAGGGTTTAGGGTTTAGGGTTTGGGGCTTAGGGTTTAGGGATAGGCTTCGTCGTCTGTGTACACGGTGGGGGTGCGTTTACTTTAGGATTTGTGAGTTTACTATATAGGGACTATGGGGTTTAGGCTCAAACATTTTCTGTAGGGTTTAGGGCTTATGGGCCGGGGGGGGGGGGGGTAGCATATTTGCGGAATATTCAATATTAGTGTAGGGTAGTAGGGGTGAGAGGGGCATGTATGGGAATATTCAATACTGCGGCCGGGCGCTCTCAATTAAAGAAAGGGGAATGAGCCCTCTAAACCCCAAGCCCATACCAGTTGAAGCCCAAGACACCACACAGCCTGCTCTCAAAAATCAGGCAACCCCTGATAACCAGAAACGCAAAACCCCAATAAAACCAACCTGCAAACCCTAAACTAGCATGGACCTTCAAACCCTCTGAAAAGATTCCTGGATATGATCCTCTTCAACCCAATAAGGGAACAACATGTCCCTTAAGGGCCTACCTGGCAAACGGGCTTGGATACCCAAGCCGAGAAAGGCACCATGCTAAACCCTAAACCCTAAACCCCAAACCCTAAACCCCAAAACCCTAAACCCCAAAACCCTAAACCCCAAAACCCGAACCTGGGGGTTAAACCCTAAACCCTAAAACCCTAAACCCTAACGAAGATATTGTGTAGGGGATGAGGGGATGGGCGGAGGTCGTTTAGGGTTTGACCACTTGAGGGTTCATGGTACTTATTAACCAATTATAACTGTACTTAAAACTGTACTTATAAGCCCCTTAAGTGCCCTAATATAGCTATACAGTTATAATTGGCTAATAACTACCATGAACCTCCAAGTAGGGTGTAGGGCTTCGGGAGGGGTTTAGGGTTTCTAGGAGAGTTTAGGGTGTAGGGACTACACCCTGGATCTACTTTTTGGATCCTCCCAGGGGTCTAAGAACCTAAACCCTAAACCCTAAACCCTAAACCCTCAAGTAGGGTTTGACCAGGGTCCTGGTCAGGCCGATCTCCGCCAGGTCCTCGACTTCCAGTTCCAACACCTCCGCGGGCGATTTGGGTTTAGGGTTTAGGGTTTAGGGTTTAGGGTTTAGGGTTTGGGGTTTGGGGTTTCGGGTTTAGGGTTTAGGGTTTAGGGTTTAGGGTTTAGGGTTTAGGGGTTACGGGTTAGGGGTTAAGGGTTTAAGGGTTTAGGGTTTGGGGCGCTTTTCGGGTTTAGGGGTTGCGTTCTGGGTTTTAAAACTTAAGGTGTCGGATTTAGGGCTCAAAGTCCAGGATTTCGGGGTGCTTTTCAGGGTTTAGGGGTTGGGCTTTGGGGCTTAAGGTTTAAGGCTTTGCTTTGTTTAGAGGTTGGGTTTGCGGGGTTAAGGTCTAAAGGTTTTTCGGGATTCAGGTGCCTGGCTTTGGGGTTTAAGGCTTAACGCTTTTTCGGCGTTAGGGGTTGGGCTCGGGGGGTTACCCTAAACCCTAAACCCTAAACCCTAAACCCTAAACCCTAAACCCTAAACCCTAAACCCTAAACCCTAAACCCTAAACCCTAAACCCTAAACCCTAGTCAGATGGGCGGCTCGAAGTCTAGGATCACTGCTATTGTCCCCGTTGCTGAGTGGCCAAGAAAGGTTAACGTTTCAATTCTGGTCGGATTATATATATATATAGGTTAAAGGATAAATATAGGTTAAAGGATAAATATATATATATATATATTTATTTATTTACATATATATATATAGGTTAAAGGATACCTACTCGGCGACTCAGTTGTTTTTAGACTTTCGGAAGTCGCGATGGTCAGATCCCACGTTATGGCTCCCTCCCTGTGTAACCGAAATTACAGGGGACGGGAAGGCATGGATTGTTCGAGGGCGCCGAAGCGCGGGGGCCGCGCTGAGAACGGGAAACATGGGGATCTAGGAGTTCTTAAGTTGCAAGAAACCTGAAAACCCTAAACTCTGAAA